CTACGACTAGTACGAGTACTACGACTACTACTATTACTACAGTCACGAGTACTACTTGGCTACGGCGAAGCTGAATACTACTACTACTACTACTACTACTACTACTACTACTACTACTACTACGACTACTACTACTACTATTATAACATTCCGGCGACGACTGTTATATTATTACTACTACTACTACGATTACGAATACTATTTGGCTCCGCCGACGATGAATTCTACTTCTACTATTACTTCTACTATCACTATTACAACTACTACTACTACTGCTACTTGTATTTCGACTACTACGACGATTGGTACTATCACAGCTTCTACGACAACGACGACTTTTACTACTATCAGTATTAATGCTTCTACTACTTTTATTACTACTACTACTACTACTACTACTACTACAATCACTACTACGACTACTACTACTAATACTGCCACGACTACTACTTCCATTACCACTGCTACCATTACGGCGACTATGACTACGACGACTACGACTACGACGAATACTACGACTGCTTCCACTACTTCTTACTATTACGCCTACTACTTCGACTACGACGACGTGTGCTACTACTACGACTGCTACTTCTCCTACTCCTAATCCTATTACTCCCACTATGACTACTACCACGACGACGACTACTACTACTACTACTACTACTACTACTACTACTACGAGTGCTATGACGATTACGGTGACTGCTTAGTTTAAAACTACAACTACTTCCACTACTACCACTATCACCCCTACTGCTACGACCACTGCTACTACTATGGCGACTAGTATTGTTACTACTACTATTCTTATTTAGTTGTTACCACTACGACTACCACTACTACTACTAGAACAACAACTACTACTACTACTACTACTACTACTACTACGACTACTAGTACTACTACTACTACTACTACTACTACTACCACTACTACTACTACTACTACTACTACTACTACTACTTACTACTACGACTACGTACACCGACTCATGCTACCTATTCTAGCACTATACTGTTTACTACTTTTACTGCTGTGACACTACTACTTCTACGACTAATTACTACTACTACTATACTACTACACTACTACTACTACGACTTCTTCTTCTTTCGTACGACTAGCTACTATTATTATTTCTGTACGAATGCTGCGTATAAACTACTACTACTACTCTAAACTAGAAAAAAATACTACTAATACTACTACTACTACTATTACGACTAATTACAGACTCACTACTACTACTAGATACTACTATTACTACTAGTATTTACACTACTAATACTAACTTCTACTAATACGACTACTACTACGACAGACTACTACTACTACTACTACTACTATTACTACTAATATACTACTACTTGCTGCTGCTACTACTACTGCGACTACTACTACTAATACTACTACTCCTACTACTACTGTTACTACTCCTACTACTACTACTACTACTACTACTACTACTACTACTACTACTACTATTACTAACTACTACTATCACGGGAACGACGACGACGCGTACTACGACTACATCTGCTAGTCTTATTCATACTACTGTTGTATTACGACTACGTCTACGACTGCTATTACTCTTACTACTGCTACTACTATTAGTGCTGCTGCTACTGCTACTACTAGTAGTGGTAGTAGTAATACTACGACTACGACTACCACTATTAGTTTTACTACTACTACTATTATTACTACTACTACAGCTACTTTACGTCTGCTACTACTATTACTACTAACACGATTACAAGTACGAGGACGACGACGACGCCCCTTACGACTACTACGACATCTCCGTCTATCACTACTACTACTACTACTACTACTACTACTACTACTACTACTACTACTACTACTATCATTATTACTAGTACTATTTCTTGTAGTAGTAGTAGTAGTAGGAGTAGTAGTAGTAGTAGTAGTAGTAGTAGTACGACTACGACTACGACTACTACTACTACTACTACTACTACTACTTCTAGTAGTACTAGTACTAGTACTAATTCGATTACTACGACTACGGCTGCTACTATTATTACTACTACTATTACTACTACTAGTACTACTACTACTACTGCTACTAATACTGCTACTACTAGTACTACTACTATTACACTACTACTACTACTACTACTACTACTACTACTACTACTACTACTACTACCACTACTACTGCTACTACTACTACTACGACTACGACGACGACGACTACGACTACGCTTACGACTACGACTACGACTACTACTACTACTACACTACTTACTATACAGCTACTGCTACTACTACTGTACTACTACTACTACGACGACGACTACGACTACGACTAGGACTACGACTACGGAATACGACTACTGCATTTACTACGACTACGAAATACGACTATCATTACACTTATTTAACTACTACTACTACTACTACTACTACCACTACTACTACCTCTACGACTACGACTACGACTACGACTACGACTACTACTACTACTACTACTACTACTACTACTACTACTACTACTACTACTACTACTACTACTACTACTACTACTACTACTACTACTACTACTACTGACCACAAACATCAAACACCGTGGACCGCGTTTTGCGCGTCGGCCCGCGTTAAAAACTTGCGTTTGATTTCGAGGAGGGCTGCAGCCCCCAAGCGTCAACGTTTTGAGCTGTTCCCTAACTCCCGCCACTCGGAGCGGCGCGGCACGCTGTCTGCTTGCGTGGCACAGCGTTTCGCCAGGGACCGTCGCCGCGACTTGTTCCATCGGCGACGCCTGAGATCTAAGTAGGGTCCCAGGCTTGGACCCGCAAGGCACGCACTGATTCCGCAGCGAAATGGGGCGAGGGCGCTCAAGAGGAGGAAAAGGTATCCATACGGCTACCACTCGCTCGTTTTCCGCTCTTTGGGCCTTCTGGGCGGCCCTCGTCGCAACCGCTGGATTCGCTTCGAAATCCTGGTCAGAACGCACCCCAGGAGAGTTCTGGGGAGTGGCGGTTTTGGTACCTTTTCGTTTCCTCAAGCGCGCCAGGCGGGTGGGCTTTGGCGCACGCGCGCAAAGCAGTGCCGGGCTTGCGCGCCAGACTGGGGTTTACTCCTCCCTCTCCCCGCTCCCACTTGCTTCAGATCGTGAGGAGGCCTGGGAGGTGATGGGGGGGGGGGTGTTGGAGCAGGAGGGTGTGAAGGAGGAAGAAGCTGAAGAGGGGGGGCGACGACGACAGAGAGGGGAAGGCCTCGCGGAGCTTTGCCAGGCGTCGCCATGAGTTGCAAGGGGCTTCGGAGCCGTGGGCTCGTGCTCACCGAGCAGGAGAAGCCCCGATCCCTAACAACGCGACGATGACGTGGCCTCGCTGAGGTCCCCGTCTTCGACTTGGGGATGATAATTCTGGGCGGCTTGGTCTGATACATCGGAAGAGAAGGCTCCTTATCCCTAAGGTTCCTGGCCCACCTAACTCAGGCCCCTTCCCAAAGGGTTAGGAGTCCTTCTACGCTTAAATAGTCACGTGCAACGGGCTGCCAGCGCCCACGACGCCTTCTTTCCAGGCAGAGGGGACTGCTCGGGCGCTCGCATCGGGTCATGGGCAGATCCGGGGAAGGCCACGGGCGAGGATGGCGCGGCCACAGCGGCCTGGCCACGATGTGGCTAGCAGACCCCAATAGCAGCCATTCCTGCGTGCAGTTCCTCCTCCTCCTCCTCCTCCTCCGCCTCCTTCTCCTCCTCCTTCTCTTCCTCCTCCTCCTCCTCCTCCTCCTCCTCCTCCTCCTCCTCCTCCTCCTCCTCCTCCTCCTCCTCCTCCTCCTCCCCTTCATCATCATCTCCCCACACCACCCATCCACCCCCAACACTCCGAAGTGAGCGTCCGAAGGTGTGCACGCTCGTCATCCTCCGGGTGTTTCGTCATGGGAGGGCGGTGAACGCAGGTGCGAAAGGAGGACGTACACGTACATGAATCCACGCTGGTTTCGAGCGTACGCATGGCGCGAACGCTCGTGTCACGAGGCTGGTCTCGCGGACTGGGGGCCGTGTTCACGTGCGTGGTTGGGTGCGTACGTCCTTGTGGGCTCCCTGTGCATGGGGGCTGCGGCAAGTTCGGGGGGGAAGGAATGCGCACCTTCTGTACCCAAAAGGGGCCCAAAAGGGCTCCCCTGGGGCCCAGAAGGGACACGAATGGTGCACGTTCCCCCCCCCCACCCTCATTTTGAATGGTGCACGTTTCCCCCCCCCCCATTTTAACTCAGGAGGGGAAACAGCACACAGGCACAATCAAATCGTCGATCCCCCGGAAAATACAGGAAAATCTGGGAAGTGGCGGGGGAGGAGGCGAACATCCAGAACGTATAGCAAGCTATGGGGCATCTGGGGATTTGTGTGTGTATTTCTTGGTGTGTCCCTGCACCCCTCCATTACCCCCCCCCGTCCCCCCTCGTGAAGCAGCCTCCGACGTCCTGTCGGGCATCGCGTGCCCGGCCGAGAAGTGCGCGCCCGCCGACCCCGGCCGCCAGAGCTTCCCCGGGCCGGGCGGCCAGACGCCGTCGCAGAGCGCGGGGCCTCCGCGCCCGCCCTCCGAGAGGGCCCCCCCCCTCTCTCGCGGGCAGCCCCCCCCGCGCTCGCCGTGGCCAACCCCACACACCTCCACGCCTCATCCTCCTCACAAATCAATCCCCCACTACCTTCCTCATCCTCTCCGACTCCTCATCTCACTCATCCACTCCACTGACCTCCAATCTTCCTCATTCCTTCACCCCCTCCTCCTCCTCCTCTCCTCCTCCTCCTTTCCTCCTCTCCTCCTCCTCTCCATCCTCCTCCCTTCGCCTCCTCCATCCTCCCCTCCCCCTCATCCTCCCCCTCCTCTCATCCTCCTCCTCCTCATCCTCCTCCTACTCTCCGCATCTCCTCCTCCTCCTCCTACTACGCCTCCTCCTCCTCCTCCTCCTCCTCCTCCTCCTCCTCCTCCTCCTCCCCCCCCCCCCGGCGGCGGGCGGAGGTCGCAGAGCCCGACGGCGGAGATCGCCTTCGCGGTGGCCATCTACGGTGCGGGGGGTGGGGCCCCCCGCAGCCGGCGGAGGGGAGGGTTCGGGCGAAGAGAACTATGCACATGCACCGATCCTGGCAAGGCCCGTCTTTGACCCAGGATCGGTGCATATGCCTTCCTGGCCAAGGCAGGAGGGCGTATGCACCGATCCTGGGCTCAGGATGGGCCTGGCCAGAATCGGTGCATGTGCATAGTTTTTTTTCCTCTAAGGGTGAGGAGGGCGGCAGCGATCGGCGGCGCGCCCCACGGGGGGGGGCGAAGAGGGCGAGGGGGGTCGACGAGACGCAAGTCGGGCCTGTCTCCCTGCAGGGCGATCTTCGACGAAGAATAAAAGGTACCCTCAACATGGTCAAAACATAGCCCAACAATCGTCGGGAGATTATTTTCTGTGCATTTTTCTTGCATGTTTGGGGTATTTTTCGAGTGTTTACGATGTTTCGTCGAAAATTCCCCGGTAGGGGGGACACGCCTGACATAAGACCAGACGTAAGTGTAGCCTTTCGCCCGGGTGCCCCTGGTGCCAGCACGGCTGGGTCCCCAGATGGCCAAAAAAACGGGGCAGCAGCAGCTGCCTGCGCGCCCGGGTCTGGTCCCCCCGCGGCCCCCCAGAAGGTCGCGCACCAGAGGTCACTCTTACCCAGGGTCGCTCCTGCGTGTAGCCGAGGGGGGGCAGGCCGTCTCAGAAGCCCTCGGGGCGTCTCAGAAGCCGTTCCGAGAAGGCTCAGAAGCCTTGTCAGACTGGCCTTACGTCGGGCATGTCCCTCTGCAGGAGGAACATTCAAAACGAGTCAAACGAACAGTTTTTGGGACGATGTCTTGACTGTGTGTTGGGCATTATTTTGCCATTGTTCATCTGTCGTCCAAAATCCGCCTGTAGGGGGGCATGCCCGACCTGAGAATGGCCAGAGGCCTCCTAGACCTTTGTGGAAGGCCCGCCCCCTCTGCATCCCCCCACTGGGCGATCGCCGCCGAGAGGAGGACGAGGAGCAGCCCCGACTCGGGGCGGGAACCTCGCCGGGCAGCCACCAGCCACGTCCCCTGCGGCCGCGCTCGTGGGACGGAGCCCTGTGGGCGGGATATCGTGCTGGGCAGAGAGCAGCTGGCGCGCACAACAACCTGAGGGGTCATACCTCCTGGGCGGGACACGATTGTTGAGTCGGGCATGTCCCCCTACAGGAAGATTATCCAAGCATAACTGAAAACACATTGTTTGGGGACGATGTTTCGATATGTTGTTTTAGTATGTTTGCGTACTCTTTGACTCATCGTCCAACATCCGCCTGTCGGGGGACATGCCCGACCTAACACTATTGAGGGGGGCAGGGGCAATCACGGACCACCCCCCGCGACCACCCTGTTGGGGGGACTCGATGAACAAACGCCGGCAAGCCCCCGCGACCAGCCTCTACGGGCGGAGCCTTCTGGGTTGAGCTTCATCTTGTTAGGCACTCGGTCAGTCTGGTCAAACACCACTAGCCCACCCTGTGGGCGTTGTGAATCAAGCTCCCGCCCCTGGAATGTAAGAGGCCCGAGAGGGTTTCCCCCAGAGGCCTCGAGGGCCCTGTGGTTTCATTGCTTGCCCATACCGCCGCCGTTTTTATGCAAACTAGGGCCCTTGGCCTTAGAGCTACGCAGATCGCTCGAGCCGCGCTCGCTTTCGCCCAGAGGATCCGCGCCGCGCGCGCGCATCCATATCACAGGCGTTACCTGGTTGGCGGGAACTCATGGCAGACGACTGCCAGACCCCAGCGGGGAATCCGGAAGTGTTACATCACATTGGTGCATGCGCTGCTTCGGGAAACACACAAGTGCTCCAACGCGTTTGAGTGCTCCAACGCGTTTGACTTCCGAGGGCGTCCTGGAGAGCCGGTTGGAAGGCCCTCGAGGCTTCTTCGTGGCATCCAGGGCCTTCTCTGGGGTTGTTCAGGTTTTCTCGTGTTTTCTCGTGCGTCTGAGAGGGGCTTCGGCTCGTCTGGAAGAATTCAGTCGGGGCCCTGAAGAAGGAACCCTTTTCGTTGGGAAGGGGCTCCGTGTTCCCTAATTGTTTCGCAGCTTGCCTCAGGTTTCCCTTATGTTTTCGACGCGAAATCGAAGTTCAACTTATGGACAATAGGGGCCTCGTTCCTTATTTAGGGTTCCTTAGGTCAACGCCCCGACTGTGTCCAGATGCCTGCGGCGCATTCCGCCACTGTGCCAGCTCAGCACTCTGGATGGTCATTGTTCGCCGGGGGCACGGGAGGCCATTGCGTGAGACACCTCGTGCCTCCAGGCTTGGGAGAGGTGATGGTGAGGTTGATGGTGATGATGATGGCGCGGAGGAGGAGGAGGAGGAGGAGGAGGAGGAGGAGGAGGAGGAGGAGGGGGAGGAGGGGGAGGAGGAGGAGGAGCAGGAGCAGGAGCAGGAGCAGGACCAGTGTGAACGCAAGGCGCATCAACGATGCTGCAAAACCCCAGCTTCTCCCTTCAGGGTCCCACTTCATAGGTCTCTACAAGAATTCGTTTTCATGTCGGGAAGTGCCCCAATAGACATTCACCGTCTGAGACATGGCCATCGTGCCAAAACACCGTCCGCCATCCCCGGGCCTGTGTTGCGTCTTGACAATCCCAAACCGTGCCAGGACACCAGTCGTGGGACATCGGCGCAGCAAACCAGTCTGACTTGTGCTCTGACAGTTCTATCTCGTGCTATAACAACATTCTTTAGATTTCAACAAATCGAATCCTTGAAAAGCCTGCAAACTTTCAAGGCGAAGACGCGCTGCACTAAGTTCGAGGCGGGGGCCACGTCGTGAAAAGGAACCGCCTTCCGTGCTCGAAGCTGCTTCGAACTGTTACGACGAATGTGCGCAGCGCTGAAGCGAGAGCCAATGTTGGAAAGGGCCTGCCCTCTCCCCTTGAAACTCTTGCAGGCATGTTGCCCGACTGCGCGCGGTGCCAAGGCGAGAACCACGTTTTGAGAAGGGCACACCCTCCAAGCGTGTGGCTGTTGCGAACTTCTAGGACGCATGTGTGGGACGCTGAGGCGTGAGCCTCCTTTTGAAGAGGACCCTCCCTCCATCCTTGAAGCGGCGACAGACCTCTTAGACGAGTGTGCGCGGCGCCGAGGCGAGGGTCACATGTTGAAAGCACCCACCCTCCATCCTTGAAGCGGTCGCAAACGTTGTAGAAGAATGCGCGCGGTGCTAAATCGAGAGCCACACTGTGTTCAAAGGACCCGCCTTCTGTTGCAACTTCTCCAGGCAAGTATGCGCAGCGCTGAAGCGAGAGCCACATTATGAGAAGGATCCGCTCTCGACGCTTGCAACCACTGCGAACTTGGTAGACGAAAGTGCGCGGCGCTAAGACGCGAGCCACCTTTCGAGAAGGATCCAGTCTCCATCCTTGAAGCGGCTGCAACTTGTTAAGACGAATGTGTTCGGCACTGTGGCGAGTGCTACGATTTGATTGAAACGACCCGCCCCCCATCCTTGACATGCTGCAAACTCCAGAGTCGAATGTTCGCGACGCTCAGGCGAGAGCCACATTTTGAAGAGGACCCGCCCTCCATCCTTGACGCTGTTGCAGCATTCAATATTCAGCGCCATACATGGTGAGAAAGTTTCAGGCGAAACGCTCGGCCCGCCCTACCCAGACGTCTGGGTGTGCGACAGGAGGAGGGCGGAAGGCCGTCACATGTGACACCTCGCATCTTCACATCTCGAGGGGCTCTCATGGAGCTCCTTGGGGCCGTCTTTGGGCTGCCTTGGCCTCCTGTGGGGCAGTCCTGGTGGTCCCTCGAGGCCGTTTTTGGGGCCCTCTTGGGCCGTCGTTCGGCCCCTCTTAGGCTGTCTTGGGGCCTTCTTGGAGCCGTCTTGGGGGGTGTCGGAGGCCTGTCGTGGGGTAGTCCTGGCGCCGCCGTCTTTGGCCGTCGATGGGCCTTCTACGGCCGTCGCGGGTCCCTTCGGAGGCCCTCCTGGGCCGACTTGTGGCCATTTGGGGTGCCCTTGGGGCCATCGTGGAGCCCTCTTAAGGGGCCTCCTGGGGGCCTCGTGGGGGGAGCCTCTTGGGGGCTCCTCGGGGGGCCCCTTGGGGGGCCGTCTTGGGGGCTCCCTGGGCCATCTTGCGCCATGGTGCGTTCTATGAGAGGTCGTGGCCTCGGGGTGGGGTGGGGAGGGGGGGGGGGTAGCGATGCACGCAGCGGTCTGCGAGTATAGTAGAGAGAGGGGGGCTCTCAGAAGACTACCAGACATCCTACCAGCCAGCACTTGGCATTCGGCCATGCCTCAACGTGCCAGGGGGCACGGTGGCGGCTTCGGGCCGTCTCGGAGGCTCGGAGTCGTGCGGGGTCGCCTCGGGAGCTTATCGGCCGACGTCGAGGCCGAGGGGAACCTTCGGAGGACCAGGCTGGAGGGCGACAGCCGGCGACATGCTGCGGGTACGGGCGGGGGCCTTGGAAAGTTACGTGACCCCGACCGGACAGCCCCCCAGGCATCCCATACGAGCCCCAGCGTGCCAGGGGGGCACAGTGGCCCATCAGCGTCGGTAATATATCCACCCCAACCACCACCACCACCACCACCACCACCACCACTGCAACCACGAGAAGAGCACGACGACGGCCAGAGAGGGTCCCGAGATTGCGCAAGGGCGCCGCAAGGAACAACAGCGGTCACAAGTCGTAGAACAGCCCCCCCGAAAGTCCGCGCTGCGCGGCGGTTGAGAGGGAGATGCACTCAGACGACGGCGAACCCGCCCGCGGGAGATCAGGGCAGGCGGGAGGCCATTGCGAGCAGCACCGCCACCAGCCCCGCTGCGCACCTCCACCCCGCCCGACGCCTCCGTGTTCCCCCCCCTTTGAGAGTCGACGTTGCGAAAAAAGCACTGCGGCATCGCGCAAAAAGGATCGAGGCGGGAGCCCTGGACCCGCATCTGTGCTGCGTCCCTCTTCGAGCAGGATCGGTGCGGGATGGCCCCAGGGCCAGGAGCGGGGCGAAGATGCGGGGGGCGAACAAGAATTACG